CATCATCTCCTGTAATTTATTCACCCATAGTGAAGAATTGCAATACCATATATCGTCGTCGAATCTGCGTTGTCCCGTGTTTTTGAAACAGATGACAATTACCCGGGTGCACTGCAATTTTGTCACCTGCCGCTACCGGACACCGGTTGTTATTAGTGGCAAACTGGCATACATTTTTGCCTGTGACTCATAGTTTTTTTGCATTTTTATGTCATTAAATCCCTCAATTATATCTTGTACTTAAAGATCATGTTTTCTTTGTTGGAAGTTCGCAATCCATCTCAAAGTAACAGCACTGAGAACATAGCGTTCTGGCGTTCGTGTCGGCACCTCACGGTGTTAAGGGACGGTGGTTTAGGTTTGTGTGGCGAACGACAATCACCCAACGACCGACGCTCACAACTTGGATCCCACCATTAACAAAAAGCAATATTATAGTTAAATAACTTTTCAGATGTTTTTAATTCAGTTTTTTTTTCAATATTCTTCTAAAATTCAACCACTATATTTACCTAAAAATCAAATAATACCGGTTTTATGCATTTTCGTATTAAACCTGTAGTCAATTCATGTTCCAGGGCCACTTGGTTTAGCCGTGCATTATCAGCCAATATACCATGGATTGCATATGCAAATTTTGTGTTTGGACCAATCAAATCAATGGATTAACACCATCAATATACTGGTATAATATAATCATTATTATATTACTTCTATAGCATTTTATGTTATGAACCAGATTAAACGTTCAGGTCCTACAGGCTTCAATTAAACTCACCATTAAATCCCCAAAATGAATTTGTTTCAACTACATGTACATGTAAATGTATCAGTCCATCATTACAGTTTTAGTTTTGACTAAAATTTGACTATCATATTAAAGGAAAGCAGAGGTCTGCTGCTCTGTGCAGGGAATTTGAGATCAATGAATGAATTCTGGCGATAAAAACAATTGAAACAATATAAAATGGGCTGTGAAGTAGACAACAAACGTCTTCTTTGCATAGCGTCATTTTGGCTCTAGAGGGCTAGTCGATGATGTCACCGGTGAACACTGATAACTGGAGATAGTTGAAAAAACAAAAAGTATTTGAACTTTAGATGGCTATTCAACGTCTATGAAAAGTAGAAAGACAAATATAAATCATTGTAAACCTCAGATAATAATCAATATGTTTGGTCAAATTCAACAAGTGGTCGCAAAAGCGAGAGAAAAAAACTCTCAAAAACAGGAGGGAGTGGGAGGTTTGGCGCAAAGGATTACTGTATCACACTCGCTACTCAAGTTGTCCATAGTTTTGCCACCATATATACATGCTTTCAAATTGAGCGTCACAGTCAGATAGGTCCCCTAGAGGCGAAATGACACCATGCAATGAAGACATTTGTCGTCTACTTCACAGCCCTTTTTATACTAGATATATAGCACATTTGTTGTTTTTATCACCAGAATTCATTCGTAGATCTCAAATTTCATGTACTGAAAGCCAGTTCTTTCCTTTAAATAGAACAGTTTTGCATACATATTCCACTATCCCTTGCAAAAAGTTCTCTGATTTATCAAATTCTTAACTTTGGCAGATTTTATAACCGCTTAACCGGTGCAATTCAATAATGTTGAAAACAAAAAGTTTGTCTATGTTAATTAGCTGAGTTATGGGTGGGTCTGTCTTTGGTCTTGACATTCTGCCATACATGCAACAATTTTGCTATAAATTTGAGTTTTATTGGACATCATTTCTAAGTCACTGTGCAATTCAATTTCTTACCAATACACCATGTGCATCATCTCATTTGCATAGTGGCCATGTTTGTTCCTGAATACGGTTGAGTTTTGTTTAAGTTGTTTTTATTCAAAACTGGTATGAGGATTATACATGCTGGGTAACTTGTGATGTATAATTGAAAACAAACGATAACATGAGTTTCAAATTTGTGTTAATTTTGGCCATACGTATTGCTTGTATGTAAACTTTAAAATTACGCCACTACCGTGAAATAATGTTTTGAGATCCAGTATTATGTTGCTGACCTATCTTTCAAAATGAATGACTATGGTTTGCTTAGTTTTGGTGACTATACCCTTCTAGGACATGCATTGACAAACGACAATGACATTGACAATGACTTGTTTAATAATTCTTGTATCTCGGTTATCTATTCTTAACATGTCAAAAGTTCCCAAAAGATCCTTTTTATTGAGTAGCCCTCCCACCAACTTCTTGTGCCACCCCCCTAGCGTCTCACAGATGTGTATATAACAATATAAAATATTGTTATGCTAATTATATGCAAATGAGGCATTTTTCAAATCTTGCATTTTAATTTGGTGAAGAACTCTTGATAATATGACTGCTCCCCAGGGTTCAGATACTGACGAGTCTAATGAAACGCACGTTAATCTTAAATTGACAGATTTTGCAAGAGGTCACCTTATACCAGATTTTAATATTGAGATTAGAATATAATCCCTTTCATCATATTAATTGTACATGATCTTGACTGTGAAGCAAATGTTCTCAATGTTGATTTCGGCATGTGTTGCTCATTATCTTTGCAACGTTATTAAATTCATACGTAGGAACTTCGCTTTTGCAAGCGTCATCGCTGTGTGATATTACAGTGCATGAAATTGATCCATGTCTTGTGAACTCTGATTAGTGCAATTGTCTAATCTCTACATCAAACCCATAGATGTGAATTTGAACTAAAATCTTTTTGTACGGTTTCCGGAAATTGTATGCTTCTTCACTGTAAGCTTTGAGGCCTTGTTTTAAAAGTAATATCCAGCACGATAATGCAATGAACAAACAAATAAGTCATTTGTTGGTCAGAACTACAATTGTGGTGATTAGTTTCAAGCAAATTGAGGCAGGGGGTCAGTTCCTGACAGCATGCGATTTGGTTTAGATTAGGGTATTACCGATGGAATTCAACTGTAGTTAAATCCAGAGTTGAATGTCATTACCGTAGATCCACTGCTGTGTTGAATGCTTCATGAGTTGACGTGTCAATAAGGCATATTGTACTACGAGTTGTGTCTATGGCTTGTAATGTGTCGTTTCAAAGTTTTAATAATTGTATCCTTACATTCTACGGCAATAGCACTGTATGTATGCTATCTTCAGTGCATAAAGTTATTATTATTAAGGTATTAACAGCAGCCTCACAATTTAAACTGCAATACGCACCTTAATGATCATATTATTTGTGTTTTTTTATTCTTCTTAATTGTAAACCTGTTCTTCCTTTCCGAGGGTTGTTATGTGTGCTTACGTATTAAGATTTCCAGTATAAAATAAGCAGTGTTGGTAATCCATAGTCTGTGCTTGTTCAATAACAGCTATTCAAAACATAATATGGGCAACCTTGACCTCAAAGTCAGTTGCCACCAAGTTCTTTACCTAACTTACTCATTGTTTTCAACCTTTCACAGGTTTGACCTCCAGATTAGTGAACCTTTTCTCCCTGCGAATAGACCCAATTCGCCCAATTTCAGTCAACCAGTTACATCGGAGGGGACCGTTTAAGAAGAAGGTCAACCCATATGCCAGGCACCCGATGGACCATAGGCCACAAATCAAAGGCGTGGTCTTGAAGACGCTTATAAAGAAACCGAAGAAGCCAAACTCTGCCAACAGGAAGTGCGCAAAACTTCGTCTCAGCAACGGTAAAGAAGTAATAGCATTCATTCCCGGCGAGGGACACAACTTGCAGGAGCACAACATTGTTTTAGTCGAGGGCGGAAGAACGCAGGACTTGCCAGGAGTTAAACATACGGTTATTCGAGGGAAGTATGACTGTAGTCATGTTGTTAAAAAGAAATTTAAATGAAATAATAGGTGCATTTCTTAATTTGTAAAATATCAGCAGTATACTGCCTTGAAATTAAACAACATCATTTGAGCATTCAGTTACTTAAGGAGGCCATCACCGAATATGACAGGAAACTGTGTTTGAATAAATTGAGTTGTTTTGTTTAATACTGGTGTTTGTATGTAGTTTATTGAATGCCTGAGTGGATTACACAGTGGTCTCATTGCTTTGTATCACATCATTTAGGTACAGTTGTACAAGACCTACTTCTCATATTCAACCCTTGAACTTAATTTCCTGTAAAATGCTCTTTATTTTCAACCTATTGCTGTACTGTATGTGTAGTACTTCAAGGTTATTTATTGTGGCTAAATATTGAAAATAACTCATGGTTTTGTGAGAACATGTATTGATATTTTTCAAGCATGTATCAATATGGCTTGGAGCAATAACAAGTATTTATCTCTGGTACTAGTTTTGAATGCCTTTTTTTATCGTGTACAACACCATGAGTAATGGAAATAAAACACTGACCATGAAAAAGTTGAGATGGAGAGCATCCTGTAGTTGAAAATGCGTGTACTAGTCGTTCACTTATGCACTTGTGGAATATGCTAATACTCATTTACCGTTGACACATGGTTTGATTCACTGATTAAATGTTAAATATTGTACAATTTCTCGCAAAGTGTGATGTTATATTAAATGGAAATGATATGACCACAAATAATTTTGAATATGCACATTCGGGAACCAACTTACCCAAAAATGGTTGATATATTATATTAGTACACTGTAAATCTAAAAAATGCCATCTCAAAAAAAATGTTTGGAGAAATTTCATGATCATTACTATAGGAGAGATTAAGACTCACTGTAAAGTATTTTTGTTGTATTTGGAATTGCACCCTCTATATGTATATTGATGTATTATTTTGATCTAAGGTCAAAAGATCACACACCTGCATCAAAAGATGATGTAGATCAAATACCTTGTAAAATCAAGACCTTTGTATGATAAAGATCAGCAGAATAATGTACATCTATTTTGTAAAGATTAATTTTTCAGTCAAGTTGCTTCTTGCCAAATTTGCTGTATTGTTTTAAATGCATCTCTTAGTTTTTGTCACAAACAACTAAGATTGTGATAGTTAATTAATCTTAACCATAAAATGTACTGGTCTATTCTCAATTCGCATGAAAATTAACAACATTCAGATGGCACAGGTGTACTAGGAACTATAGAATTAATTTCTTAAAATCGTTTAAGTTAACCTTACAGATAATGGAATTAAGTTAGCCTCAACATTCGGTTATGTAGCTTATTAGTCAATTTTGTTGGTCGTATGGATGGGTATGTTTATACGTTTTACTTTATTTAAATGCAGATAAATGATTTCAAAACGCTTATAATTTGTAATATGTTGATTTCTTTATGAAGTTGTCAAATGTTCCAGCTATGTCAATGCAGCTGTTATCCTGTTGAAAGCTTCAGATTATACTTCCTTTTTATTGACCTTTATTTTTCAATTTAATCAATGATGACGAGTAATCCTTACCGTTCGTTGGACTCGTACCGGTGCATTATGGCAGTGAATCATGGCAGGTAATCGTTATTTCAGTTCATGGGTGTATGTTAAGTGTGTTACAAAATGTCACAGAAACTCATCTCTCAGTCGGCCTCTTTGAATGGTTTGCGTAAATATATTTAGCGTTGTATTCTCTAAATTATCACTAATTATGTTCTCATCATGGTCAAAATTGACGCTTATTCCATGTTATCGAAACATTTTGATTTTTACTTACAATACCAAAAAATTATTTTTATCTGAAACTTTTTTTTATGCATCTCCACAATGAAATAAATAAATAAATAAATTTCAGGGATTTTTGGAATATTTTGTTTCTTTAACCTTTATCCTGCCAGCCCCATACTTTTACATTGACATGGCCAGATATGAATTCTATGTGATATGAACCGTGTCTGTATATAATAGAAAATCATAATGTCAACCTAAATTCTAACAATTCCATTTGTTTGGAGATAGTCGCTTCAAATTTGGACAGGAAATAGTTTTCGGAGAGAAATATAACTCTTTTCCTAATAAATTGAAATCTTAATAATATGTACAATTTTGAGGTAAAATGATAATTATTCTGGTTTGAAATTTTAATTTCACTATCTTGATGTTTTGAGCATATTAACTGTTTTAATTTCACCAATTTGTCAACGAAACATTGAGTTTTATTATTTTACATGGTCATACATGTATATATATATATATATAATTAAACAAATTTTAATTGTCAGCAAAAATAGAGAAATTAAAAGCCCATGAATAATTAGTATATTTACAGAATACTATAGGATAGTGGCTGTGCATTTTTTCACTGCTGTATGTGTTTGGGTTGGAATCTTTGCATATTAATCACCTTATTTGCATAGCTAATTTTCAGTTATTGCATGGATGTCTCAAAACCACTCAACAGATTACAAAGAAACTTAGTACATAGATGCCCTGTGATGGTGGTGCACAAAACCACTAGTTTGGGTTGAAATCCATACATATAAATTACTTAATATGCATAATAATTGGCTAATTTTCAGTTTTTCCACTTATCTTAGTAAAGACTTGTCAGGTGTCAAAGGTGCTCTGGTATAAGCTATGTATACATTTCATTAAGTGTTGAATTTTTTTCATACTAATTGCCCAATTTGCATAAATTAGTCAATTTATAGATGTACGACAGATATATCCAGTAGGACCCATCAAATTTAAATGAAACTTGGTACATAGATACTCTTGGATAATAAGGTTGAACTCTCCATGCATAGTTATTTCATGCTTTGCATAAATTAGGCCATGTGACCTCATTAATATGCATAATTGCAAGAAGTCAAGCACTGTTAAAGACATGCAACCAGGGCTATAATAACGGCATTGCACAAGGGATACGACTAACACATCACATGATCATGTATAGTCATGTGACTTCATTAATATGCATAAATGTAATTTCCCGTACTGTTTAAGATACAACCAGTGCTATGAAGAAACCATTGGACAAAAGTTGAAGCTAACATATATGACCAAATATGGTCATATGATCTAATTAATATGTATAAGTTTAATATCTAGAGAATTATTGGAAACATAAGCATACAACCGTTACTGTAATGATTGACTAACTTATCACATGCAACCAGTGTTATATCGAAGGCAACAAATAAGAGATATGACAGTGTATCAGATGACCATATATGGTCATATGTTACCTCATTTATAAGCATGACTGAAATATTTCAAGTACTGTTGCAGATGGAGACAAACAAACAATACTCTAATGTTGTTGGACAAGTTGTATTACCAAAACATCAACCCATCGACGATTTATGCTAATAAGCTCGTGAATATTAATTAGCTCATAAATATTAATGACCGACCGGCACTCAAGTGTGGCTGGCAAGAACCCTGCATTGTATAATTATGTCACCACTCTGATCACTGCTTGCAGTTATGTTTTTTTAAATACCGTATTTTCTCTATTAGAAGCACGTGTGCTCAATTGTAAATGACAAAGGCGATTCTAGACCCAATTTAATTTTGTGATGAACAGAAGAAAAATGAGATTTGTTTCGAAACGAAGACGAATGGGACGCTTAAGCAGAGCATATACTTTATCAAAGACAAAGAAAAGTTAACAGAAACTGACGTCTTCAAAAGACCCATTCCCTTCGTTATCTCCGAGGGCGTACTTCCCTGTGAATATAACACGGGTGAGCCGTCAATGTAGACAGAGAAAATGTAATAATGAACGTCTCTTCTCAGATTATTGTTCTTTTTGTGTACATGGGTTATGTATGAGAAGTCTTCCCGTCAGAATTAAAGATTTTTAGCGATTATATCCATACTCTCAATGATGAACACTGAAATAAAATTATTACAGACTCCTTTTGCTCAATATTGTGTAGTATATATATTATGGAAAAGAAAATATTATTTTTTAATAAAGTTGTTTGATTTTGCATAAAATGAGATGGGTGCATTGGAATTTATCATGATCTTAAAACGTAGCACAAAACTATTCGTTCGACGATGAAATTATCTAATAATCATTTGTGTTAACTCGTACGTACGCATTAGTGTTTTTCATCAAAAGAATACTATGCATTTCATGAAGGCGTGAATTTGTTTTATAAATTTGTTTATTTATAAATATTCATAAATGTTTATACGGCTGAAAACTGAAAATCATCCCGCGTTTAGGATGCATTTGCAGTAAATCTGCCAATGATTGAATAAAATACACAAAAAAATCGTGCATGGCCGATAGTGAATGATTGAACTGTTAATTTTTATTGAAATGTGATATTTCAAGCCAATAGAAACGTTGATTTGAGTTAAGCGCAATACACCTCCAGCATATATTTTTTAGAAATACTTCACAAATGTTCAAGAAACAAACTCACGCCTTCATGAAATCTACAGTATAAAGAGCGCTGCTAAAGTAAACTTTTTATTTTACGAAAAAATATAATCCAATTTGGTCTCAAATAGCTGTATATCATTTAGCAATATGAAAACAAATCCATGTTTGTAGATCGCGCGGGAAGATTATATATATTTGACTCAGCATCAACCATATGTATTTTTAAAATAACAGAAATATCACATTTCAATAAAAATTAACAGTTCAATCATTAGGTGTCAAAGGTATTCTCAGTAAAAAAAAATGTCACCAGACGCATCGATTTGAGGTAAATAAATTGACAAAAATATGGATCTCGTTGTTTATCTCTTTGATTTATAGCCATGTATAGTTTCCATGAAAAGTATATTTAGTCTTATTGTGGTATCGGTGATTCTTAGTCCCAAAACATACCACCATAAAACACAAAAGATAATATTTTGATCGTCTGTCTGTGTTCTTAAAATAATCCAGTGATGTATTATTTCAAGATAGGTATCCATGGTGTGCCATCGTCGCGATGCGGCGTGGGCGGAAAAAAATAGGCGTAACCGGTTTGTTGTTGTCCAAACATGGCTGCCAGCATTGTATTTCAAAACCCATGCAATAGATGTTACTTGTGACGATGATTGAACTGTTTTTTTAATGCTACTTTATTGTGAATTTGATAGATTAGTCACAGCCCTTCTATTTGATA